GACGTTTGTGCTTCCAGACATGGCGACCGATTCTAAGGTTAACCTTTTATAGCGCATCAGTGAAATACTTTGGAAATCCACATTTCCAGCCAATAGTTTTATTGGAATCCAGGACAAAACCTTATTTCCTTTGGAACATTAAAAAATATGGATATTTTGATGGTAAAAATTAATGTCAATGTAATAATAAGAGACGCCAACTTGCCTGAAATTTTGAAGAAAAATAACAGAAGTGCTTCTAGAAGAAATAAATGAAAAACACTCAGAGAGTGAAAGAAATCCATTTTATTGGTCCAACATAACCTTAGAGGCATAAATGCTGATACTGGCATCTACATTTTTAAGTTTATAAACCTAAATATAAATGTTAACGAGGCTTATTAACTTATTAACTTTTCAATTAGATTTTTCCTTTTTTTTTCTTGACTTGAAATGAAAACTAGAAGCACAGTCCAACGCGTGCGTCTCAAATGTGAAACATACATCATGTATTAACCGATCTATCTTCAAGCATCACAGGACAACCATCACCAAGTTTTCTAGAATGCAGATTTACCGCCGTTGGTTATTAACATGGACGCCATATTGACCGCTGCTGCGAACGTCCACACTCACCACATCAGCACGGCTGCCAGATGTCACTGGTTCATGATTTCCAGCCCAAAACATTTTAATAAACTGCCTGGATTTACGAAATCTCACCCAATTTAAACCAAAGTCTATTGATCTCTAAGGCCATTAATCTAAAGAAAAACATTTTTCACCCATAGACGGCCATCTTAAACTGCCAGGTTGGGAAACATCCCAACCTGGCAACAATGAATGTAAGACTGGAAACGTTAGCCTCTAGATGCTAAACCCCATCATGCACTGCAACATGTTGTTTGCAAAATTTTCAAACAGAAATTTGCCAAATATAAGAGTTTGGTTTAAAGAAAGCATTTTAGTTTTATTATAATTTAGTTTGTTTCTAGGATTTTACAAGAAAGGGCTATATATGCTGCATGCATCATTTAATGAGTTAACATTGGATCACTGCTTCAGCTCCTTCAGTTATTTACTGTCACAGGAAGGAGCTTCAGCCGGTTTGGAGCCGCTATGATTGAAGGAGGGCCGGCCCCCGCACGCTGAGATAAGAACCGGCCCNAGTTATTTACTGTCACAGGAAGGAGCTTCAGCCGGTTTGGAG